TAAATTTGCAATTTTTTTTTGTAAAATTAGTATTGCAAGAAAATTCACAAAAAAATATACAAATAATTTTTTGTAGAAAAATTTGCAAAAAATAATATTTTTCTAGTAGTTTTCACATAGCGCTTTTCTTTATAAGCTTATAATGTGTCATGATATTTTTTAGGATAATTAGTAGTATATTAAAAAAAACCAAGGAACGTAAAAGTAAAAAAAACAGGGTATAGATTTTACTTTATAATAACTAATTATTATTTTAGTAATTAGTAATACTTATTATATGTCTATTTTTTTATTATTACAAAAATCTTATCAAATATTAAACAATTTTTTAAATGATAAATTGAACATGATAATCATTTTGAATCTTTTTTTTATTTAATTATTATAAAAATGATAAAATATAGTAATAATTATTTTCGACCTCCTTCTTATTTAGATTATTGCTAAAATTTGACCAAATATTAAACAATTTTCTAAGTGATAAAGTACAATATAATAATCATTTTAAATTTCCTTCTTATTTGATTATTGTGATTAATTTTGCCAAAATATTATATAATTTCTAAAATGTTAATAAATATATTAAATAATCTTCTAAATGATAATTTGAAGGTGATCACAATCATTTTAGATTTTCTTATTATTTAATTATTATGAATAGTTTTGTCAAAATCTTAAATAATTTTTAAAATAAAATATTATAAAAGATATCACTATAATCGTTTTGGATCTGCATGATTATTGTCGAACTGTCGTCAAATATAAACAAACTTCTAAATAATAGCTTAATTATAAGTATGATAATCATTTTGGATCTCCTTTTCTAATTTGATTATTTCAATAACTTAAAATTGATTGTGATAATCATTTTAGATCTCATTCTTATTTGATTGTTGAAATTAAAAAATATCAACTTACAAATATTTTCTATTTTAAAAAATTACATAGGAACAAGAATCCATCTTTGTCGACTTGAAGGATAAAAAGTAATTGTTATTTTCTTTTCTAAAAATATAATAATAACTTGTTCAACATAATAATTCAAGAGTGAAATATATATATATATATATATAAAGACTAAATAATTTATTTTTCTAAAGGGTTAAAATAAATAATTTTAAAGTAATATTAATTTTACATATTTAATTAAAGATAACCATTTTTAACGAGCGTTATAAGATGCTAATATATTCTCTATATATAAATCACTTGTAGACTCAAAAAATTTATTCCAAGGATTTTCCTTTCCTTCAAGAATTTTTTTCAATATTTTCTTAAAATTAAATATTGGTGTGAATTTCACATTTTGTTTTTCGTCCCGCTACAATTTTGATTGCGACATCATCCATAGACTATCCTAAGTGAAAGTTGAATTACAATTCTATCAAGCGCTCCAATATTATTATAAATAAATTGATAGGATTTTCTATGCATATATAATGTTCACTTATTTAAACGAATACGTTAATAAATTATAATTATATTGTTTTGAGACTAATTATAACTATAATTTTTTAAAATACATTTAAAATGTCGTAGTTTAATAATTATTTTTTAAAAAGTGAGGGTATGTCATCAAGTTGTTATAAAGTTTATTAATGTACATCTAAGTGTATTAATCTATATATTATGTCTCTATCTTCTTAGTCAACTTAAAAAATTAATTGTAGGTGGCCGGTGCTGAATGACATGTAACAGTATATTATCTGTAGTGGGCCGGGAAGAGACTAACTTTTAATATTTGCTTTTAAATGCATTCGGAATTATGGTATTGGATTAATCATCTTAATCTTTATATATAAACTATACGCTTTGCATAAATATCAAATGCTTAATATTGTGCTTGTGCTTTTTGGGATCTTTTTTTCCCACCAAATTAACTTTTATAATTCGTACACTTTGTTACCAAACATTTATTTATTCTTTTTACGTATTTTTGTCATCCATTAACCGATTATGTAATATCATTTGTTAATATGTGATATTGAATGCTAACGTAATATGTTGGATATTAATATAACAAATTATATTATATCAATCATCAACGTGTCACGTTAATAATCAATAATTAATTATTAAAGTAATAAAATATGAAAATTTAAAAGTTTGATAACAAAATATATAATTTTAAAAGTCAAATGACAAAATTCGTAAAATATAAAAATAATATGTGGCAAAAAGTGTAAGTAATCTTGAATGTAAGATTAGTTAATAATTAATGAGCGATTTTGAATAGTTATTTAAAAGATGTAAGATGTTTGAAAATTTGTGAAAAGGTAGAGAAAAAAATAAAAAATAAATAAAAATATATGGGAGAGAAAGAGTCTTTTAATAATAAAAGGAAAAAATAATCAAAAAAATGTGTATATAGAAA